CACAAATGATCTTATTTACAAAACAGAAACAGACTCACAGACATAGAAAACAAACTTATGGTTACCAGGGGGGAAAGGGGATGGGAAGGGATAAATTGGGACTTTGAGATTTGCAGATACTAACTACTAAATATAAAATAGATAAACAAGTTTATACTGTATAGCACAGGGAACTATATTTAATATCTTGTAGTAACCTATAATGAAAAAAATATGAAAAGGAATCCAATGTATGCATATGTATAACTGAAACATTATGTTGTACACAAGAAATTGACACAACATTGTAAACAATACTTCAATAAATGATCAATGAAAATAAAAAAGAAGCAATTAGATTTCAAGATCCCCTCCCCTGCCCCATGCAGTCACATGGCAACCTCTCTCCCAGATTGAAAATAAGATTTTTATTTTCTATGGAATTGAACCAAGATGATTCTAGTCTAGGGGATTCCATGTACAATGTAGAGTGAGCAATGACACACTGTACTGAAAACAAAGGAATTAAATGAGATTCTACATTATGAGTAATGAATAATGACCCTCAACCTCGTTTTTCCAGTCAGTTTCTAGAATGTTTGCAGCAGGTCACATACTCCCCAATCAGGAAATTGGAGGAGTCTTCTCTGAAGGTTTAATAGCAAAAGAGAGAAGACTGGGTGAATTTCCAATAAGCTTTTTGGTTATCCACTCTTAAATATAAGTTGACATCCAACATTCATCAAACATTTGGCAATGTCTCCAACATGAATAACAGAGACCAGGAAAAAAAAAATTAGGGGGAGAGAATCTTAGAGGAAATGAACAAAGCAAAGAGCAAAAGAAAACTTTCATATAATTAAAATTCAAAGAGATAAAATAAGATCAAAGATTGAAGAGATAAGAAAAAATATTGCAACTATGAAACAAAAATTAGATGCTACCGAAAAAAGGGAGGGCAAGTAACTAAAAAATAAGAAAGACCTCTTAGAAATTTGTGGTACTGTTTTTTAAAAGTTAATAGAGGGCTTGGAAGATAAAGTTAAGGAAATCTCCTAGCATGAACAAAAAGTCAAAGAAATGGTAAACACTAAGCCTACAGGAATTTCAGAAAAGAAGAATAGATAAAATGCAGGAGAAAATACTAGCAAAGAAATAAAACAAGGAAATAGTGTAGGGCTGAAGGATATGTATTTCCAGATTAAAAGAATCCACTAAATGCTTAGTAAACTTAATGATAAGACCCACACCAAAGCACATTATAAGTTTTCAGAATATTAGGGAATAAAGGACTCTAAATTAGAGAAATGTTATGAACAAAAAATAAAAATAAAATCAGAATAACATCAGACCTCTCATTAACAACACTGGAATTTGAGGGGGAAATGGAGCAATGCTCTTAAAAATCTGAGAGAGAATTATTTCCTACTTAGAATTCCATAGCAAACCTAATGACTAATCAAGTATGAGGATAGAATAACATTTTCTTATACAATTGTCTCTCAAGAAACTCTTCTCAAGAAACCACCGAGTAGTGGTGGAAGAAAGTAGAAGAAAAGAATATCCAGAAAACAGGGAATCCATCTTGAGACAGAGTCAAAGAGAATTCCTGGATAGTGACAGAGAAATATCACCCCACCACAGGACAACCAGTCTAAATTGGAACAGGGAAATGGAGAATTCTGGAGAAGGAGGAGATTTCTCCAAGAAAAATAAATGGAAGTGATAATATTTTTTTATGTATTTGACCATGGTGATAGGCAGAGGCAGATATTCTTGCTGCTTTGAATATCCTACCCTTATTCTTACCTGATAGAGTGCACTGTCTGTGGAGGCTGAAAACGACAGATAGTTGCACCTCCCTTTTAACTACAGCAGAGCGTGAGAGCCAATCGTGGCCAAAGAGACATTAAGAGAAATCTACTCTCGGAATTCCAGGAAAGTTCCTTCTCACCCACATATTTTAAAAAGATATAAAAGGAGAAAAGGAAAGAGAGAGGAAGAAATGCTGCCCTTCCTGGCTTTGTTATATGTAAGTGACACTTGGAGCTACAGCAGCCATCTTATAATCATGAAGAGTTAAGCCTAAAAACAAAAAATCAACATACTGAGGTTGGCAGAGCAGAAATATGAAAAGCACCTGAATCCTCAGAGATATTATAATGTCACTGAGCTAACCAACCCCGGAATTCCCTAGCTCCAGACTTCTTTAAGAGTAAGATAATAAAAACTTATTTTGTTTAGACTACTTTTAGTTTGGTATGGTGCTACTTTGCAATCAAAAGCATTCTACTCAACATCACTAATTATTAGAGAAATGCAAATCAAAACTCCAATGAGCTATCACCTCACACCAGTCAAAATGACCATCATCAGAAAGTCTACAAATAATAAATGCTGGAGAGAGTATGGAAAAAAGGGAACCATTCTACACTGTTGGTGGGAATGTAAATTGATGCAGCCACTATGGAAAACAGTATGGAGGTTCCTTATAAAACTAAAAATAGAGTTACCATATGATCTAGCAATCCAACTCCTAGGCATATATCTAGAAAAGATGAAAACTCTAATTCAAAAAGACATATATGCATCCCAATGTTCACAGCAGCACTATTCACAATAGCCAAGACAGGGAAGCAACCTAAGTGTCCATCAGCAGACGAAGGGATAAAGAAGATGTGTGTGTGTGTGTGTGTGTGTGAGATTCTCACACTCAGTGGAATATTACTCTGCCATAAAAATGAATGAAATAATGACATTTGCAACAATATGGATGGACCTAGAGGTTATCATACTAAGTGAAGTAAGTCAGACAGAGAAAGACAAATACCATATGATACCACTTATATATGGAATCTAAAAAAAATGATACAAATGAACTTATTTACAAAACAGAAACAGACTCACAGACATAGAAACCAAACTTATGTTTATCAAAGGGAAAGCAAGGGAGGGGTAAATTAGGAGTTTGGGATTAACAGATATACACTACTACATATAAAATAAACAACAAGCACCCACTGTATAGCAGAGGGAACTATATTCAATATCTAGTAATAACCTATAATGGAAAAGAATCTGAAAAAGAATATATATACATATATATGTGTGTGTGTGTGTGTATATATATATATAACTGAATCACTTCACTGTATACCTGAAACTAACACAACATTATAAATCCACTATACTTCAAAAAAAAAAAGAAAAGAAATACACTTCCAATAATATTTTGTCTCTACCTATTTAAAAAAGCATTCCAAATTCTATAAAAAGGTATTATCCTTCTGTTACTGTGTTTATGGAAGAATTAGTGAAATACACATAGAAAACTAAGTGCCCCCCAAAATAAGCAATTGTTAACTTCAGGCAAAACAAAAAGCTGTGCCAGAAATTTTAGAAAAATACATATGAACTGTGAACAATAGTTACATAATAATAGAATAATTGTTGAATATTAATTCAACCAAACTATAACTATACTGGGAGGACCTGGAAAGGGAAAAGGGGGAGTACCCCACAGGTAGAAAAGGTATAAGTGTTCTATAAGTAATAGAGTTTTCAGGACAAGCAGTTTTTTGAGGAGCAACATTTATGAAAGGTAAAAGGGAGAGAAAATGGAATTGGACAAGGAAAACCTTGAGTGCAATGTAGAACTGAGACCTGTGAATGGAAAGGAAGGAGGAAGCCAAATCCAGCAGGGAGGGCCTCAGACAGTCCACAAGCCTGACAAAAGTCTCTGCGAGCCCAGAGCGGCATCTAAAGGAGTACGACACTAAGCAGAAATGGCTAGGCCTGTGTGTCACCACTTTGCCCGTCATCAGGTGGAGCCACCTCCAGAAGAGTGTGGCCTCAGCCTGGAAGAGCGGGAAGCCTGAACAAGTTAACACCTGAAGGCTGTTGGCTTACCATACTTGCAGCTGCTGGGCAATGGGTCCTTTCCTGAAGAGGGATCTGAGCAGTGCATCTCCATGCCTGGCACATATGATTATTTTAAAACACCTAGGTAAAAAATAGAAAGAAAAAAATAGTTTTAAAATGTTTAGAGTCAGAAATAGGGATAATGGGGAAGAAAATTCTAATATTGTTCTTTCTAAACCATGCACATATTTATTTTAATAACAATTAAAAATTTTAGATTAAAAAAGTCACTCTATAGGAAATTTTCCACAATTACTCTATTCCAAGTAGAAATAATGACACTGTGATACTAATAAGTGCAATTTTAGCAATGGCATGAGTATTTCTCAAGTGTCTCATCTTAGCAACATATTGAGTATCCTGAATAGCCAGGACTAGTCATAGTAGAGCTGAAATATCAAAACTGCTTTATGTCAAGGATAAGATCGCAGGATTTTTAGGAATAAAATTGTGGAGGTAGCAACTTGATTACCTAAAGATTGATTTTGTTTTCTTTTTAGGTGATGATTTCCCTCCCTTAACCAAGAAAGTAATTAAAAGCACATTACTGAGAAATATTTCAAAACTATATCAACATACTGCAATGCAGCATAAAAAAAGTAGTTTCTAGACCCATATGTGGCCAATAGTGGAATTAGAAGCCCATTCATCTCCACCTCCCAACTTAAAATATTCAAGCACATCATGTTTATAAAAAGTAACATCTCATGGGATGTTAAGTTAGAAATCTCTTTATAATTTCTTGGTCTTTATAATTGGACTAGTGGTCATAGAAAACTAGATAGATAGATAGATAGATAGATAGATAGATAGATAGATAGATAGATAGATAATAGATAATAAAGAGATTCTAATGTGAGCAAATTCTGGCATTGGGTCACTACATAGAGGTACCACCATGAGCCCAAACTCTATTTTTCTGCTCTATCTTCCTTAATGTGTTTGTTTTCATTCTTGCCTCATGGTTGTAAGATTCACTTCCAGATATCACATTCCTGTTCTAAAAGGGCAAAGGGCCTTTTCCTCAGAGTCTTTATGACTTTACACAGCAAGTGAAGTTCTCCCCAGTAAAGCATCTCATTATCCAAAACTAGATTACATGCTTACCCTTATACCGCTCAGTGACTATGGGAAAGGATATTATGATGATTTGTTTAGGACAATCACAATTTACCCTTGGATAGGGTAGGCATCTACACTCACTGAGATGGAAGGCTCTCTGCCCAACACCTAAACTGATGAGTGTTCTGTGAGCAGGAAAAGGGGGAAGGATGGCTTTGGGTGTATAATGGACAAGATATTTCATTTGATCCAAATATCCAGAAATGTCTAAGTGAAACCTTTGCTGTCATTCCCAACTTCCTACAATTGGAAGTTAGAATTTCTAATTTGGTATAAATAGAGAGGAAGAAAATTTCCTAGTTATAGAATCTGACCCACAGTTGAAGCAGTCTGTTACTGCTCAGGACAGTCACCTTGCTGCATATGATTTCACTCCTCTGACTGATATGAAATATTTTTATTACTTTTTAAAGCTGTGTTCTCTTGCTATAATCTATGATTAATCTTTTTTAACATTTTATTCCATTTGTCTAAAGATGATGATTTGTATTAATGGGGCTGGTGTTTCTTTCTGAGGTGATAAAAATGTTCTGGAATTAGATAGTGGTGATGGTTACACAACTTTGTGAATTCACTAAAAACCACTGAACTGCACACTTTAAAAGGGTGAGTTTTTATGATATGTGAATTATATCTCAAAAAAAGAAAATCAGTGACATGCCTGTGTGCTGAGCTCCCATTGAGAAGTGCTCAGGTGTCAAAAATTTGAGAAAGAGCTCCCTAGGCAATCTAGAGACAGGCACTAGGCTCCCCAAAGCAGTGGAGTCAGCAGTGAGGTGCTTCACCTGTATTGCCTGTTTTTCCACCCAATTTCGCAGGCCATGAAGAGACTCCAATTCATTGGGCTGTTAGAGCTGTTCTGCTTAAGGTGAACAACCCCATTCCTTACCCAACCAATGAAATTATCAATTTGCTATCTTAAAATCCTCTTTTTACAGAGCACAGCACTGTTCTAATCCCAGGACTGCCAAGAAAAGTTGTGCATTATCCCATTGTCAAGGGCCCCAACGTCCAGTCTGTGATTGTGGGACGTCTAAGGGGTCGTGGCAACACAGAGGTCAGAGGAATAACTGGCTACTAGGTGATGGAAGGTTTACACAGGCTTGAAGGCTGGGGAGGAAACTTCCATGAATGAAAAAGGGCAAAGAACATTTCAGCTGAGGACACATCCAGGTCAGAATACACAGCAGTAGGAGATAATGTATTAGCAGAACAATGAGATGTTCCTGTGGAATATGGTTTGTGTAGTTGAGAGCGGCAGGAGATAAGGCCATGTCAGAGAAGAAGAGACTTCAATGTCATCCTAAAAAGTTTTGGCACTATTACGTAAGCAGTGAGGGACTGATGAAGGACTTTGAGCACCAAGATGGTCAGTTGTTTATTTTTTTTTAATTATATATATGTATAATATTATTATATATATAGTATATATATTTGTATATATAGTTTTAGATATAGTATATATATTTTAATTATATAGAAAGAGACAGAGAAACAGAAACAGAGAGAGTATTCCATTGCATATGGAATGCATATATATGGAATATATATATGTGATGAAATACTATTTAGTAATAAAAAGGTACTTATTTTATAACACAGGGAATATAGCCAATATTTCATAGTAAGTATAAATGGAATATAGAACCTTTAAAAACTGAATCACTATATTGTACAGCTGTAACTTACATAATATTGTATAGCAACTATACTTCAATAAAATAAATTTAAAAAATTTTTTAAGTTACAAACTACTGTTGCAACAACACAAATGAATCTCAAAAACATTATGATGGGCCCAATAAGCCAGATATAAAGGAGCGCACACTGTATGATTCCATTTATATGAAATTCCAAACAGGAAAACTAATTCATGGTGCAGGAAATCAGAACAGTGGTTGCCTCTGGGGGAAAGGATTGCCTGAAGGAGGGCACAAGGGATCTTTCAGCGGTTACAGAACCATGTATCTTCACTGAGGTGTTGGTTACTTCGATGTGTGTGTTTGTCAAAACACATAGAACTCTACACTTAAGATCTGTCATGTCCGTGTTTGTAAGTTACACAAACACACACACACACACAAAGAAATCTCAGTTTGGCATGAATATGAAGGATGGATTAGCACAGAGCAAGGGTGAGGAAGATCAACCTGCCTCTCCGTTGCTTTCTCTCTCGTTTCAGTTCAATCAGGGCCTGCTCAATCACGGCCTGCTCAATCACGTGGCAGGTCTGCTTCAGGCCCACGCAGAGGCGTCCAGGATGGAGCTGAAGGGCTTGATTTCCAAAGAGCGATTGTGCTCCCTCCTTTCCCTGGAAATGAGGGAAATTACACCAGACCCTCCACGTGGAATTTTCCTTTGTTCAGATTTCGTGACTTAAGTTCAATCAATGTGGAGCAATCCTATCAGAGCACAGCGGAAGGCTGCTCTGAGCCCACAGAGGTTTACACCAAAATGTGACTAGTGCGGACACCGGGGAGACCAGGGCCTCGGGAAGGCCGGGTAACTTGAGCAGCCCTCAGTCCAATATCCGGTGTGCCAGACAGAAATGCTTAAAGATCCAGATCCTATTATATGAGGTTGAATTCATTCAATTAACAGCTTAAGCGGCTCCGATCAGCCGCTGGAACACTTCTCCGCGGAGTGCTAAAACAATGGCCCGGGGGCGGGGGGCGGGTGTGCAGCTGAAGTTTGCTTTCTCTTGTGTGAGGCCAGCTGGAGCTGCCGAGCGCATGGGCAGGCTGGGGAGGGCCAATACCGCATAATTGCATTAAACCTGCCCGATCTTTCCGGAAGGCACTTCCTGACCACATCGAGGAGGAAATGAGTTATAAGGGGAAGCTTTCAAGTCTTAGGACACCACACCCATCTTCCAATGCCCCTCCTCCAAGCCTTCAAGATCACTTTTATGAAAAGAGAATCTAAGTTATGACTCCCCTGCCACGGCCAGTTTTGCTATACTATGCTTGGTCTTTCCTCAATACTATTAAAGTGACTTTTTTTGGACATACCATTTGGGGAAGCAGAAAATAGATTAGAATAGATTTCTGTAAGGTAGAACCAGGGTATCACTAATTCCATTGTACTTCCCGAAAATCCTAGTCTGCTTTCAAAAATTAAATGTTGACCTCTCTCAAAAAGCTCCCAAGATCACTGTTACCACCGATTCAGGCTGACACCACCTCCCACTTATGCTTCCTTGATGCTTTACCTTTGTCTTTTCTATGACACTTTATTCATCTGTCCATTGCTCAACAAGCATTTACTGAGCTCCCATCTTATATCTGAAGCAGTACTGGGCACATTCACATATAATTTATTTAATCCTCACAATAACCCTTTCATGTAATTAATATCATCCCCATTTCACTACAGACACTTAAACTCACAAACCTGGCCAAAGTTCTAACAGATGGTACTGACAATGTTTAGCTTCAAATCTAAATTGCTAGCCAAGACATGGACACAACCTAAACGTCCACTGATGATGACTGGATAAAGAAGTTGTGGGATATATACATATATATATATGTATATATCCCACATATATACATACATATATGTATATATACAGTGGAATACCATTCAGCCATAAAAAAGAAAAATAATGCCATTTGCAGCAACATGGATGGACCTGGAGATCATCAAAGTGAAGTCAGAAACAAAAAGAAAAATATCACTTATATGTGAATCTTAAGAAATGGCACAAATGAACTTATTTACAAAACAGAAACAGATTCACAGACATAAATAACAAATTTATGGTTACCAAGGGAAAAGGGGTGGGAAGGGATAAATTGGGGGTTCAAGATTTGCAGATACTAACTATATATATAAAATAGATAAACAACAAGTTTCTACTGTATAGCACACGGAACTATTTTCAATATCTTGTAGTTACCTATAATGAAAAGGAATATAGGTAGGGACATGTATGACTGAAACATTATGCTGTACAC